AAGGTTTTTTACCAATCAGAAGCTGAGAAAAAAAAAAAAAAAACGCAAACCCAAAAAATTATTCCTTTTATCTTGCACTCAACCATTCATACCTTTTCTCAATTATATGGCAAAAATAAATGAATACAGAGCAAAAAAAATTTTTCTCAATACACCCTTTTTATGGTCCTTTTCCTTTTTTTTTTTTTTGAAAAGTAAGTATAGAAGGAATGGAATGAATTCCTGAATATCAAATTTTTCATCTCACTATTTTTGCTATTTCATTGGAAGAAGGGCTCGTAAATATAAGAATAAGCTAAATGATTGAATGAAAATTTTTCAAAATTTATGCAATTTATATAATACAATTTTCTGGAATTTTTATAGTTTTACATTTTAACAAACGAAAAATGCATGAAATTTCAGTGCAAATTACTTATTATCTCAAAATTAGTTCGAATTTTTTTTCAGTAATTTTATCAAAATGAAAAAATTTGTGATAAAAAAAATAAATGACTTAGATATTCATATTCTTTTGTATATTAATTTTTCTTTCTCCAAGTCATATAGTAAAATAATATTTTAATTGTCAAAAATAATTTTGATAGAATAGGAGAAAAGATTAAAACTACCTATAAAATTAGCACTTGTACAATTGTTAAATTTTCCAGGTGCTTTAATTAGCTTAATTTCATTGCTTTTTTTCTCTCTTAACAAATGTACTCTGTCAACATTCTCATTATCATGTTATCACGTTTAGATATTTAATAAGTCAAAATCAACGTATAAGAAAGTTTTTCTTTTTCAATTTATTAAAATGTAAAAATGCTTCAATAAGTTTATTATAATCATTTCGAGACTGATTGAAGTGGTACTGTAGAAATGCCATTGAAATGCCATTAGTCGCACCTTTTTTCTTTTATTTAATCCAAAAAAAAATAGAAGAATAAAAGTCACTCAAAGAAAACATTTTCAAACACTTCGATAAGCTTCCTTTTATCATGTAAATTGTTTCATTTCTGTAGCGTAATTTTACTTTCCAAAAAAAAAAAAAAAGCGAAAGTGTAAGTTATTAAAATAAAAGTAAGTTGTGAGCAAAACCTTTGTCCTATTTTTCGAGATGAAAAAATTCATTCAAAATAATAGAAATTCATTTGAATGTGAAACTGTGACGTTTCCAATAAATTTGTGATCATTTAGGACACAAATCGTTGAAATGAGCTTAACGCAGACAGAGTGTAATTTTTTTTTTTATAGAAAATAGCATGAAAAAAAAAAAAAATCAATCCGTCATTTTACTATCTGTTAATTTTAATTAAAAAATCAAATTGTCCAATTTAAATGCTAAATTATGAATGAATAAAATTAAATGTAAAATAGATGTATAAATTTGTAGCAAAGATTTTAAATAAAAAAGCTACGAGGAAAAAAAAAATTTTTTTTTTTTGCACAAATATGAATGCTTAATTCTGCGAAATGCAAAGTGATAACAACGAAGTGAGAGAGTGTCCGAATAATGGAAAAAATTTAGATTTTATTAAAGGAAGAGCATATGGTCAAGCAAATAGTTAAATAATGTTTTGATAAAATCAACGAAAAAGACATCTGCAATTTAGCAAAGGAGAAGAAGGCGTATCATCCATCATCACAAGGAATGGAATTTATGCATGATTTTAAAAGCTGAATATAGTTTTGATTTGATGATCAGTGCAATTAAATTCTGTGTTGATCACATTCTGTTATCAAAATGATATATGAATTCTCTCGAAGCATCTCCTCAATTCCGTTATGACTTCATTCGTTTACTGATGTCTCATACCGGAAATGATTGTTTTTTCGTGATGCATTGATGATGTTTTCGTGAATAATCAAACTGTAGCATCGATTAGTTTTAATGAATTTTGATTTTGCTTCGGAAAGGAATAAATTGTGATGTGAATACATACAATTATTTTACGTTCTTCTGTCTATGTATATATAGAATTTAAAAAAGAGAAAAAGAATATTCGGCATAAATTGATAGTACACCTTAAAATTCATTTGAAAAAAGTTTATATCTTAGATACATCTGCATTTTTTTCCAACCAAATGAAAGCTTTATTTTGGAGAAAAATCTAAATTAAGTTAGCAATGACAATAAAATTTTGGTATAGATTTTTTTTTTTATCACTTAAAAATTCATTAAATTTAAAATTAAAGAATTGTTATTATCTTTGTGATTGGCATCATATCTAAGATTTCTGATGTCACCATTAGTGTATTTCATAGAATCGATTAAAAATAACTTTAAAAAAAAGCCCATCTCTCTTTTCAACTAAATTTTGACACTAATCTTTACTACTTGCACACATTTTTAATGCAAGTTTTCATGCATAAGGTAAATTTAAGAACGAATTAATTTAAGGACTAAATAAATGTCAAACTGTCATCTGTTGTCTCAAAGAGAAAAGCATTGACAACAAAACTTTGTACAGCGTTAATAATTTTATCCTTCTGTAATAAATACTTCCAAGCACCAAATAATTATTTATTGCATTTCTGTTAACAATATAAAATTACTTAAAATTTGCTACACAAATATATTTTTCATCCATATTTGAGCTGTTAAAGATGTAAGCAAAGTTTCAAAGTAAACAAAGTTTTATAAGCAAATTTTCAGTAATAAAACTTAAAATTCTGAAGGTACTCATCTATCTGTCAAACAAAAAAAAAAAAAATAAAGTCTGAAGTTATTAATATTACTGAGGCATTAATTTAGCTATGTAATGCTAAATGGATAGCAAATCAATTTTCTGCTCAGCAAGAAAAAAAAAGTTTCTTTTTCACATCTAAATTAATATTTTTATTTATTTACATTTAGACGAAAGTAAAATAAACTTAAAACTGCAGCAATTTTCTCCAAAAAAAAAACGCAAGTATGTAAGTCTATTAATTGTCGAACAATGAAAAGTAAAATGAAAATTCTTCAAACGTTCATTTAATCAAAAAAATTGCATTAATTAAGAACAATTATGAATCATTACTAACAATTAAATTTATGAGAGAATGAGATAAATTTTCTGATAGCGATTGATCTACAGAACTGAAAAAGTGATTTTATAGATCGATCGATCAATTTGGAAAAAGAATAATTTTACCATTAAAGAATCAAATCTAATTTACCAATGTTTTTTTTTCTATTCCCAGAATTTCAAGCGAAAAAAAAAAAAAAGAATAAATATGTGTTCTAAGATATACGAGTAAGACTGTGAATATATTTTTTTCTTTTATTTATAAATTTATTCCAATCTAAATTTTATATCTGAGCAACGTTTTACAACTTTAAACGATTCACTAAAAACTTTCAAAGATGGAAATATTTTGCATGAGAAAAAAAAAAGAGACATATCATATATGGAAAGTGAGATGAGCTATAAAAAAAGCAAACATTTGCTTGTGAAAATGCAAATTTTAAAGTTCCAAAGTTTGTACAGCTCAAATATGAAATTTGCAAATTTTTCTAAGCATAAAAGAACCAAAAAAAAAGAAACGTTTATAGAAGCGAAAATGAAAAATGAATTAATTATTTGATATAATTTTCAATTCAGAATTTCAAATTATAACAATATAAACCATTGCATACTTTCAAACGAAATTATTTGTAACTTTATCAACCAAACTGTGATATAACATATTATTGTTTTATATAATCAAATAAGATGAGTTTTGATAAATTATTATGAAGTAGTTTGACGAAGTAGAACTATCTATTTGATAAGAAATTTAAATTGAAAATGAACCTTTGATAAGTGAATTCATGTAAACATAGTTCATCTAAAAGTTGTTTTAATCATTTTTCATGAAATATTTTCCCTCTCAACTCCATGTGACAAATAGTTTTTTCTTTTGGATGTTTATGGGATTTAATAAATACCTCATTTTAATGTGATAACCGTTAACTTCTAACCAATAACTCACATAGTTGAACAATTCCGATGTGTCAAACTTCAAATATGACTCATTCAGTTTTGTAAAATTTTTGAAAAAGTGAAAAATCTTGTGGAAAGTATGCAAGATTAACTGCTTTGGTACCATTTTTATAAAAATTTGAAAATCCATCTAGCGTCTTTATGCTTGAAATTTTATTTTCAGCAAGAAATTCTTGAAATCACCGGATACTTTAATTTATTTATTATTTTATTATGTCGCCATTATATTATTATTTGTTGTTACTAGTAATTATTATTAATGTAATAATTATAGTTATTATTATTTATTGTTAATACTAATATTATCATTATTATTTAATATTATCACTATTATTGTTATTGTTACTTACTGCTATTATTATTCCTTTATCGACCGATCTACATTATCCATTATCGTATGCTGCTATGCTTAATTTGAGTTATTATCGAATTCAGAGAACACTAAACTATAAAGTGCTGAATTGAAAATTTTTCAAATAAACAGTAAATTCAGCAAAAAAAATTTTTTTCTGAATGCACAAGAACTTAAATCGATAAAGGAATAATAATAAATTTATTTATAATTGTTCAAAAATGAAAAGAGAGATGATTAGACATATCTCTTTATTATTTTAGATGAGTTAATTAATAGTTTATTTGAAATTTCCTTCTTTCACAAAATTTACTTCAGCGTTTTTGTAGTGAAAAAGATAGTGATTAATTACAAATAAATTAATCAAACATTCCCCTTCCATCTTTTCGTTGATACTACTTTCTCCTTTCGTTATTAAATTCAACTCAAAATTCCTATTCTGTTCTAATCTTCCTTCGACCAAACCAATTCATTACAAAAAAAAAAAAAAAAAAAACAGTTTTAGCTTATCTAATATAATAAATAATTATCAGACTTTTGATATATTTTAAAGTGAAGTACAAGAGATTTCTAAGAGAAATAATTGCTGTTTAAAAAATAACAATTTGAGATGGATGAAATTTTATCAGTTCTTTCATATAAATTAAAACAACAAATTTAGTAATGATAATAGCACAGTAATCATAAACCTCTTTTATACATTAATCGTTTTTATTACCATCCGAAATATTATTTTTATTGTTCATGCAATGATGATGGCTTTTACTTTTGGTTGATTGTAAATTAGCAGTGAAATCTGTTGTCGGTGGATACATTAGTAATGGAGTGGTAGCAGTTAAAGCACCCAGCAAATGTGACGAATGAATTGGTGACACATTCTTATGAGTCAAACTGTTGAAAAGTGCTATGCTTGCTAATCTTCCAACCATTGGTTTAATTTCATGTGGTTGTAAAATACGTCGTCGCTTTTTCGGTAGTTTCGACCTAGGAGGAATTTATAAGAATATTGAGTGTTTCATAGATGAGAGAGAGAGAGAGAGAAAAAAAGAAAGAGATCATTTTATTATTCAATCAATCAGAGAAAAATAAAGAAATTAAAATCTTACCGAGCTTGAGCATGTGAATAAAACATTGCAAAATTGGAGACGATGACCGGAACTGGAAGTGCAATTGTTAATACTCCCATTAGCGCACAAAGTGAACCGACCAACATACCCAAATATGTTTTTGGCACCTGTAATCAATTTGACCACATTTTTTTTTTTTTTTAAATAATTTTATTACCAAATTTGAGTTAAACAGAATTAGTTAAAGTGCATGTAATATTAGGGCTTAATAATAAGTAAGGAAATGAATGGAATTTCGATGAACGAAAATGGTTGAACGCACTTAGTTGACACTGAGATAAATTTAGTAGTTTATACACTTCCATTAATAAAAATCAACAAAATTATGCATTTTTATTTAAAAAAAAAAAAACAAAAATTATGCATTCCTAATTTTATGCACTTCTAAGTCTAAACCTAAGCCTAATTCTAAACCTAAAAACCAAGAAAATTATTTATTTTTATTAAAAAATATCCAACAAAGTTACACACTTCTATAAAAAAAATATGCATTCGTAATTTTATGCGCAGGTACTAATTATGCACTTCGATTGATAAAAACAAACAAAGTTATGCACTTCTAAGTCTAAACCTAAGCCTAAGCCTAAACATAAGCCTAAGCCTAAGCCTAAACTCCAACACAATTATGCATTTCTATTAAAAAAAACCAATAATGTTCCAAAAATGTCTACGAATATCGTGCATTTCCTCAGCGTAGCAAATTATAATCAGTTCAGATCCGAGTCAGGCTTGACTAAGTTTACTAGCATATTTTAGCGACTCTGATTTTCATATTTAGTAAAACAATTGACCAACTTTCATTTCGTCGAAAAATTCCTTTCAAATTTTGTTAAATTATTATTTTTTACTAAATTAATATTTTATTTAAGTAAATTCTTAATGAAATATAAAAAATTGGGTAATAAGAAAAAGTACTTACCATATCTCCAAAGCCAATTGTACACATAGTGATGATTGCCCCTATAAATATAGAAAGGTGACATTTCCAAAAAATTGAACTTCGCTTTGTGAATTTAGGTTTGACCAAATTTGAATTATATTTTGAATCTGTTTCCGATTTTCTCACACTATTTAATAAGATATTAACTAGGATAATTCAATAAATTCTAGTATTAAATAAATAAACTTATGCTTTGTACATGGACAATAATTAGTTTTATCCTGGGAAAACACAGCACACCACGTTTGACCGGAATGGAGTGAAATTGATTGTCCGGGTTTGTTTCTACTCGTTCCGCATAGTAAATCAATGCGGCAAATATTACTATACCAAGTAGTACAAAAAACACTCACACCATAGTCCGACCGGAATGGAGTGAAATTGATTGTCCGGGTTTGTTTCTACTCGTTCCGCATAGTAAATCAATGCGGCGAATATTACTATACCAAGTAGTACCAAGTCCGACCGGAATGGAGTGAAATTGATTGTCACTCGTTCCGCATAGTAAATCAATGCGGCGAATATTACTATACCAAGTAGTACCACTAGTCCGACCGGAATGGAGTGAAATTGATTGTCCGGGTTTGTTTCTACTCGTTCCGCATAGTAAATCAATGCGGCGAATATTACTATACCAAGTAGTACAAAAAACGCCAGCAGCAATAATTCCTGTAAACGAAATGACTGAAATGAATTTAGTGAGTTATTATTTCTTTATGAACAGTTCATTCTTTCAATGAGTTTAGGAAAGTGGAAGATGTCGAATTAATTTTATGAATTTAATTATGCGACAATACTTTCATTTTTCAATTTATTGCGTTACGCAAACATTTATAAATTATTTTATTCAAATTATACTTGAGCAGATGCCCTAAATGTTTGGAACAGAATTTTGAGTCCCGAAAAATGTTGCGTCAACTTGAACAGTCGCAAAATTCGAATAATGGAAAAGAATTCAACAGTGTCGCGATTAGCGCCAGTTATTGTTCGATCCAGCGCCCAATCGATGTAAAACGATAATGTCGCTATTAAGTCTAAAAAAAAAAAAACTTAGAAATAATTGAAAACGAATATTTTAAATTTTCTTAAAAATCTATAAATAATTGTGCTAAGTACTCGTACCATTTTCAAAAAAATTAACGGAAATAAATGCATAATTGTATTTAGAGAGAGAAGAAAGAAAGAATATTTTACCGATAATATTGACTGCTTGTCGGGTAAACTGTGATATTTTCGGGCAAAATAGAAAGCGAATGAATAATTCCATTGTGAACCATATGTTACTGACAAATTCAATGTAAAAAAACGCTGGATGTGCTCTGGAATATAAATTTAAAAATAAATTTAAATTTTATTTATTTCTTTTTAATAGTTTTGCTATTATGTGGCTATCACTGGAATTATTTGTCTTTTTCTTAATGATTTACTGATTGATCGATACAAGTAAAACAAAATTCTCAATTTCAGGAGTTATAATTGAGCTAAACATTATAATCAAGATCAAAAACAAGATAAGTCAATTATTAGATCAAACTAAATGAATATTGATCTACTAGATGATCATGTTTGATCTTACATCCATCTCATCGATTAGGAACAAATAAATTATATTCCTTTTTGCTAGCCCAATAATTCAGCTAATTTTTAATCCTTTCAAAATTTTAATTTTCAACTCGAATTCATAGCAGTGTTCTAATCAATTTCAGTAATTATTGTTCATCTTTCTTCTTCACTTCTCCTTTGATTATATTTTATAAAATTGTGTATTATTGAAATAGTATCTCTATCAATAATATTGTGTGATTTGAACCTTTAAATCATGAAATTTTCTGATTTTGATTTTTGTTTCTGGATCAAGAATTCTTCAAAATTTTATGTTCACATAATCATATAGAAATCTTTCTCGAGAAACATATTAGAGCATTGTATAAACTCATAATTTTGAGAAAAATGTTGGAGTTGAAATTTTTGTATGCCTGTTGAATGCTAGATGATGTAATTCAAATATGTGAAGACTTTTACCTTGTAGCGATTTTTGTTACGAGTAATGCATGAGTAGAATCATTCCTGAGTTCAATATCGATATCCGGAATACGGAAATTTGGATGTGTCTTCAAGCAGAAACAAATTATTGATGTGATCACAAAAAATACGGATATTACCGAAATCACCTGCAAATGTGTCATCTCATTTCACACCTTTGTAAATACTAATTACTTTAAGCATACTTTTACTTTAGCAGATCTGTATTTTTGTGTTTAAAATTTGCATTTGAATAACAGAAATGAATTTGCTGCGACATTCTTTATTCTTTGCTTCATTTCTTGAATTTAGCGTTACTCTTAGCAGTACTCTATTTTTTACAATCCTTACTAATATTTATAGTTTCTTCTTAGCACATCTAAAGATAACTCTAGTAAGCCACAACAAATAATAAAAGAAATAATTGTTATCAGTTATAAAATCTTAGGATTTTGTTTCTTAAATTAAATTATTTATTAATTAATTTGTTTATTAATAAACAAAGATCTCAAAAAACTAAAGTGACAATGTCAATAAATGTTATATTATCCCAAATATGGCAAAGCTCCCTTTTCTATATGAATAAATTAAAAATCAAACTTGTCGTCTTTGATAACAATGAGATATCTTTATTTTCGGAATTCCTTTCAAGTTTATAAAGAATTTAAATATTTAGTAAGTAATTATAATCTCAATTATTCGTTTATTTCGGTTGGTTCAATGAATAATTAATTATTTTATTAATTTCTATGCCTCTTTTATGAATCTTCCATAAGTGCATGCATCATTCTGCAGGTTTGATAGCTCTTGCATAATTATAAGAAAGGATTGATATGCGCATGCATGCATTCTAAAGATTTGATAAGCGCATGCATCTTCTGCAAGTCTGATAAGCGCATGCATTATTCGAAGGATTAAATGATAAAATTAAAATTTCGTATTTAGAAGCAATAATGATGTAAAGGAATCATTTCATATTAAATTGATTCCTTAAAATTTATTAAAAACAGACTGCTATATCAGCAAAACTGTATATTTTTTATTTATTTGCATTTATTTGTTAATTAATCGAAATTTTAACACATATTAAATCAATATAACTTCGTTACAATAATCTATTATACTTATTATCCGTTGAAAGTAAGTAATAATGATTTCAATTCTTTAAAATATCAAATTCATTCTCTTCTTATCAGTGCCATAAGCTTTTAACAAACAAACAAACAAAAAAGTTATCAACCACTGTACAAATGCATTAACAAGTAAACAGAATAAAAGCATAATTTAGGAATCTATAAAATCCCCAAAAACAGAATTGATAAATTGGTAATTGATTGATTTTCATAGCTATATTCTAATTATATGTGCAAGTTTCATCTCTTATCAGTGATTAAAAGAAGATGAAAGACATCTTTAAATTTAAATCAAAATAAACAATTATCGAGAAAAAGCACACTTACTGACGAGAAAGAAATCAAAACGAATCTGTAAGCGGTGACAAACAAAATCACATTTAAAGCGCAAATGAAAAAAAAAAAACATTTTTAAATGGCATTGAGTGTTGTTATTGTAGAAATTAAACATAAAATGTATTGATTGATTTGTATAAGTAATTGATGACTGATTGATTTGTATAAGTAATTGATGACTGATTGATTTGTATAAGTAATTGATGACTGATTGATTTGTATAAGTAATTGATGACTGATTGATTTGTATAAGTAATTGATGACTGATTGATTTGTATAAGTAATTGATGACTGATTGATTTGTATAAGTAATTGATGACTGATTGATTTGTATAAGTAATTGATGACTGATTGATTTGTATAAGTAATTGATGACTGATTGATTTGTATAAGTAATTGATGACTGATTGATTTGTATAAGTAATTGATGACTGATTGATTTGTATAAGTAATTGATGACTGATTGATTTGTATAAGTAATTGATGACTGATTGATTTGTATAAGTAATTGATGATTCTCATTAATCCATCACTGGGCAATCATTAAGTTTTTTTTCAAACAAAAATTATTTGAGGAATGGCTATAGGCTTCAGACCATGGAATTTCACTTTGGTGTTCGGTAACATTGAACTGTGTGAACGTCAGTGATTCTAAAAATGAAAATATACTTTGAATGAATTAATAAATTCATCATCAAAAAATCATTAGCAGAATAAAAAGCTTATTGAAGTAAAAAAGTAATCATTTTTGATTACTTATAATATTAACGAGAATTATAAGTAAAAGTTGTAAATAATTAATTAAGCAACTTTACTTCCTTCTAATTGTGATTTCTTCATTGATTTGGGAAATATAAGTGATGTCTTAATTTCATGAGCTTGTAACACTCGCCTTCGCTTTTTTGGTAATTTTGCACGAGCCTATTAAAGTAAAAAAAAAAAAAAATCGATCAGTTAAATGTCATTTTTAAAAATTGAAAAAAGATCAACAATCACTAATATATCACTTAAAATAATTTTTTTTTTTTTTGCTTTTGGTTTTGAATTATTCAATGCTTTTAAATTATTCAATGTTTTTTGAAAATTTAAGACAATATGGATTGTGTTATACACCTTTTATTAGTTTTTACAAAAAGTAAAAAAAAAAAATTTTTTTTTAATAAAAAATTAAAATGAAATAGTATATAATGCATATTGCAAAACAATCCACAATTCATATTTGTCTTAAATCTTTAAAAACATTATTGAATAATTTAAAAGAAATTTAAAAAATCAATTTTTTTAAAATTCTTGTAGAAACTAATAAAAGGTATATAGCATTTTAAAAAAAGGAAAATTTAAAACAATTTAAGACAAAATTCAAAAAAAAAAAAACTTACTTGTGAATGAGAGTAAAGATTGGAAAAATTAGCAACGATAACTGGCACAGGTAATGCAATAGTTAATACACCCATAAGAGCACATAATGAGCCAACTAACATACCCAAATAAGTTTTAGGTACCTGTAAATTAATGTAAACTAAATGACGAATTGTTCTTGAGAAATTTACAAACATTTAATAAATTAAATAAGTAGACGAGAGAGAGAGAGAGAGTCGGGGAGAGGGAGAGAAAAAAATCAAATGAAAAAGGGAATGGAAAATGATTTGTTAATAATAGTTGGAAAATAAAAGCAAAAAGAAAAAATGTTCAAAATATTTGAATGAAAATTTAAAAGTATGAATTTCATCTATAATTTCACTTTGAGATTAATTTTAAGGCAAATGAAAATCACATAATACAGAGAGAAACCTAATTAATTCATTTGAACTGTAGTAGATTTGACATATACTAATTCAAAACAACTTACCATGTCACCAAATCCAATTGTGCACATCGTTACAATTGCCCTGAATGATAATTGAATTTTAAAGAGTGTATAAATCTGTCAAATGAAACGATAATAATTTTTCAATGAAGGACAGAAAGAGATGAAAGAGGAAATGAATAAACTTACCACCACAATCCGGCAGGTATAGAAGTGAACTGATTTTCCGGATTATTTTCAATTCGTTCAGCGTAATATACAAGTGCAGCAAATATAACAATTGCTAATAACACAAAAAATACAAGTAATAATAGCTCTTGTGCAGATGCCTATAGCAAAAATAAAAGATAAAAGTTACAGAGAAAAAATTTTTGAAATATTTGAATGAAAATTTGAATTTGATGAATTTCATCTGTAATTTCACTTTAAAATTAGATTAGATCATCAGCATGGGATACAATCGATATTGTCTTTTTTGCATCAGTGCTAATTAGACGAATTGTTAGTAATGCTGAAATTAGTTTGTACTAAAATTTAATTTATGGAACTTTTAAATTGCCTTAAATGTTTGTATGAGTATTTTAAGCCCACTGAAATGTTGAGTTAGCTTGAATAGCCTTAGAACACATAATATTGATAGGAAATCGATAGAATCTGAGCTAGTTTGATCACTTATAATGCTGGTCACCAGCCAATCCAAATAAAATGATCCTGTTGCTAATAGATCAACAACTGTTATCGGTGATTTGAAGAATCGTTGTAAAGATGGCGCAAATATCACACGAATTGTCTGAAAATTTGCAAATAAAAATTAATTAATTTATTTGATTTTTAAATGATATTTATTCAGCATTTGATAATTCATTAATATGAAAACTATCTTTTCTAAAAAATAAATTTTAATTTAAAATAACTAAGCACATTTCATACAGTAGATTGCTTTTGTTCATTAATTTCAATATAATCAATCTGATAATGTATTTTTTATCACAATCAAGCAAATCCTCTTCCTATCTTATCATTATTATCATATTATTGTTTATCATTAATCACAAGCAGACAGGTAGATACTAATGCACTAACAAGTTCAATGCTAAAATATATATTGCATATGAGATCAATGTAGAAGAATGTAGGATGTGCACTGGTGCATTGCTTAAAGGTACCTATCGATTGGGTACCATCGCTACCAATTTCCATATTATAGGACACTGAAAATATTAAAAATTATTGCAATATAAAATATAAGTAAATGAGAGATTCAAATTTATTTAAATTGAATTGCATTATTTCTAAATGTGATAGAAATTAGTTTAATTGCTCACTAAAATCTTTTTATTATAATTAAATTCTTTTTTTTTCCTGAAATGCAAGAAATTTTTTGCTAACCTGTAATTGATGGTATCTGGAATGCAGGATGTGTTTTGAGAACAAATGAAATAATACTTGAAATAATGAAAAATACAGAAGAAGATGAAATCATCTGAAAGCCATTTCAGCACATTCATTTGATGATAACAACAAACTGTTAGAGAAAGCACTGCAGAAGTTAGTTAAATTTATCTAAGATAAGCATATTGCTTGTCAAAAGCTTACATTATTCAAATTTCTTTCAATTTAAAACTTAAAAAAATTTCAATGAAATAAACTTGAAAAAATCATTCAGAGTTTTGTTCTTTGTGATCTAAATAATATCAGTTGCAGTGTGAGCGTTAGCAACCGATGAATGATTTAAGTTTTATTATTTTTGCATTTAATGTAAGTAATTTAATTAAGCATAGTTCCAGTAAGCTTTCAACAAATATGTGGCATGCTTAGCATATCATTCAGCAATTTCAGACATGCAATAAAATAAATGCAACCCTTAAGAAATAAACAACAACAACAACAACAACAACAATAATAACAATAACATTTCTTTTTCACTATTACTAATTAAATTATCAAAATTGTACAAGGATGAGCAATCGATAAGCGTAAGTAATTTTTGTTTTTTTTTTTTTTTTTTTATTGTTTACTTAAATAAAATAATTGAGAAAAAAATTGCCGCTGAAATATAATGAATTCAAAATTTCCATAAGTAAGAAAAAAACTCTTTGAATAAACTCAGATTATTTTAAAATATTTCATTCTTATGGCATATTTTTCTCTTATCTAATTAATATATAAATTAAATCTACCTTAGCATACTGAGAAGACCAAGGTTCATCAAAGAGCGCCCATATCTGTGGTTTCAATTGCTGCCATTTTGATAAATTGCCTGAGTAATAATCATCTTCCCAGCCAAACTTTTTTGCAGTTTCTTCCTGGGTTGGTGGTTCGGCATCCAAATCTAAACCTTCGATAACTGCCAAAGTTTCTTGGGTATCTCTAAAAGCAATATTTTTGATAGATTTAATAAACCTGAAAAAATATATAGGTATATATATCTGATATAACTAATAAAATTATCTCAAATATTCCTTTTCTTCATTTTGTAGACATAATTTTTTTTCAATCATTTTTTTCTTATATTTTATAGAAAATATGACAAAAAAATTTGAAGTATTTTGGAGGAGAAATTTTATTCTAAATTAAGTTAGCATTTGAATATTAATTACAGATTATCATTTTAAAACAATTACCGATGTTGTGTATAAGTCATCCAACAGCATGGCTCTACCTGATTTGCATCTAGACCCCAGAATTCTAATTCATCCTCGAATAAAGGACCACAAACATTAGTCGGATAATGTAGCTTTCCTTGTAGTAAACAAATTAATTAATTAAAAAAAAAAAATATACGAAGAATGAACGAACTACAAATTTTGAAAGCATTTTCTAAATTTACATTTAAAAAATTGCTCACCTGTCCGATAATAATTTAGAATCATTGAAAAAACACCAGGATGACGATCAAAAAAATATTCATTCAATACAGGATCATAATTTGCTAAATTTGGTGTCAACCTAAAAATTAAGTTTATAACATTCGAAAAGATACTAAACATTTTTAAATTTTGCTTAAATCACATACTTATATGAATGAAAAATTATTACTCACATAAATTTGAATATTAAACATTTAAGAAAACCTAGAAAGTCTTGTAGCTGGAATTTTTTTAAGTACATGAGTATACGTTTCGTGTCGAATTCCTCCCACATTTAATATAACACGATGTTCGCAGTCCATTTAAAGACTGAAATTTAAGTAAATTTATCAGTAAGTGATACTATCATTTATCTAAAATTAATAGCATAAATTATTTTTTGGTTTTAAAAAAGATTAATAAAGAAATATGTGAACAAAAATTGAAAGCACTAAAAATTCATTATAATTTATTTTTCTCAAAGAAAAAAAAACATATTTGAAATTTGAAGCAAATCTTTCTTACGAAAATTTCTAATGATGGCATCAATAAGACTAAGCGACATTTTTCTTTTTTTTTCGTATCTCAAAAAAAAAAAAAAAATTGTTTATTTTATTTTTATTTTTTAATTCGATACCAATTAAATTGAAAATTGTGGCAAGAGTGAGTAATGCAAAAAAGGAAAAAAAACCCTACAAACCTCTTCGAGAAACGGATATTTACTTATTATTAGTTGAAATAGAAATAAACAAAATAAGATTTTCAGGATGGATGGAATTTTTATGGCATATTACTTTTCAGATATAAATTTATAAAAAAATAAATAATTCTGTGAACACTGTGAAGCTTTTATTCTTTTCTGAAAGGTTGCAATTTTTTTAAAACAAATAAAATGTTTTTGATTTCAGAGCTTTCAAGAAAAAATAAAAAATATTCTAATTAAAATAGCTACATTAGCAATTCTTATTTTGCATTGAAACACTTATTTTCAATGCAAATTCACTTACTTATCTATTATCAATAATCATAATAATAACTTTATCAAACAAATCTAAATTTTATATTTAGTCAAAAAACTTCCCCCCTCCCTACCCACAAATAAAACTGTTAAATTGGTCTTATTTTAATTTTATTGTTTTTCTCAGTTAAATATACAAATAGTACAATATTAGCAAATATAATCATTTTAACTTACAAAATTTAATTTAAAAGTTTTTTTCAAAAATGTAAGACAATAAGAAAAAGTGTTGTGTGAATGTACAATAAATATTATAATTTTAGCTATTTAAAATTTATTATTTTTCATCTTTTTTAATATAAATCTCTAATAATAATTACGCATGAAAAGTTCCGTTATAAGTGTTCTCGACGAGAAACTATAAAATATTAATGCAAATAAGCTAACCAATGGATAGAACTATTTACTCGTAACAAAATTGGAATGGAAAAATTATCATTGAAATTCAAAAAATTGTCCCTTTGAGGAGAAGACATCACGGTGGTCCCTTTTGTTGCATATAATTATTAGTTGGATAGAAAATATTTTTTAGTGCTTTTTTTTTCTCTCTCTCTCTCCCTTTCTCTCTCTCTTTCTGTTTTAAATGGTCGAAACTATATTTCATATTAAAATACAAACAAAGTAAATAATACATATAATTGTTTGCAACTGTTATTGTCACAATATTTTGATGCCATATATAATAATTAAATCATAGAATTAAATTAAAAAATTTTTTTAGTCTGAAAATTTTTAAATTTATCACCGAACATTTAAAACTTCCAATTTTGTGATTTAAGAGTAAAGAATTGCGATTACTTTAAAAAATTTCCTACATAGTTATTTTCAAATAATAATAATACTTCAATTAAAAGCATACTAAAACATTTTTCTTTTTTCAAACTTTCCTTTTTCTTTTACATATTATATTGATTTTTTATGCGCAAATGACTTGCCATTGCTAAAATTGACAAAACATTAATTTTAGTATCAAAAATAAACCCAAAAGTTCTATTCTAATCAATGTTTTAATTAAAATTATTGATTGACACTGCTATACTACAAATTTTTTTTTTTTTTTTAAAGCACACAACAACTTCAAATTATTTTCAACTTGGTGAATATATTAATTTAAAAAATCGTTCTTAAAATATTTTACGAGCATTTTCATTTTTTTTTTTTTAAATAGTGAAAATGCCAACTAATTAGAAGCAGAAATTATTTTCTGGTTCAAATAAATTGAAATGACAAGCAATAATTTTACTTTCCTAGAAGTAAACTATTGTACCATAAGACAAATGCGCTTAACAATTTTTCTTTACTTATAAACTTATAGGAGCATTTACTTTCATAAGCAAAGCAAATGATACACAATGACAAATATTTTTGGGATATTTATTTATTTTTCTTTTTCATTTCTGAGAAAGAAAAAAAAACATCGAACAAAATGATCAATAATTTCAAAGATTATTGATTAGTTCGATGAAATTAAGAACCTAAAATATCGATCATTCATTATTAATAACTATAATAATTATTTCTAACAATTATTGTAATTGTACTTACAATAATGAAAAATAAATAATAATTTCATTACATTTAGGAAGAAATGGTAAAAAAATGAAAACAAATGTGACAAAATAATATTCAATGACAGATATTTGTGGACAAAGTCATAGAAAATAATTATTTTTTCAACTGCAAAATAAAAATGAAAAAGGATGGAAAGATATGTTTAATCCTTTATATCTATGCTGAAATTACAGCAAAATTGATATTTGCAAAAAAAAAAAAAAAAAAAAAATTGGAATCATAATTTAGTTGTGTGTTCTTTTCAATATTTTCCTTTTATTTTCATATGAAAAGTAATTTTCCGCACATCATATTAAATTATGTTTCTTCCAAAATTTCATTATTCATTTCGGCAATTTTGTTTTTTTTGACTTAAAAAATTTTTTCTAAATTATCTGCTAGTTATAAAAAAAAAAAATAAAAAATTATCAATACAAGGAATACAGTATTACGATATCGTCGAGTAATTTAGTGTTCTAATATATTCGAGAATTTATTGGTATTTCAGTGCATTTTTTATTTCATTTTGATTTTTTGAATGATTAAAAAATTTGTAAAATATAAGAAAAACAAAATAGTTTGTTTCAACAATAAACAACAATTAAAAATTCCTCAATAAGTAACTATGAAGAAATTTTTAAAGTAGAAAATGATTTCAAGAAGGATTAAAAAAAATTTTTTTAGCATTATGTTTACTTTTCCTGTTTATGTCTTAATGATAATTTTAAATGGAGCATCTAAGTACCGTTAATATCACTTGACCCCTCTCCCCCCCCCCTTCTCCCCTTTTCCCTTTTCTCAAAGTGTCTTTGGTCTTTTAATCAATACATGAAAATATGCGGGCGGAAAGAGTAAGCAAAAATAATGGAAATTTATTATCGCATAAGGTTTTAAAAAGAGCGCAGCAGGCACTTCAATGAAGAGTGTACACTAAAGAATTTCCTTTTCCGATTTTTCAAAAATAATTTCATTGTCTTTCCAATGTTTCAAAATTTTCAAAAATTAACAATTTTATCTATTTTCGAATAAAATTTAATCGAAATAATCAGCGAATGAGGAAAATGTCAATTTTGCATAAATATTTTTGTTTTTCAAGTGTTTAGCAATAATTTTGAGAGAAGAAGTCACGAAATAATTCCGAGTGAAGAAATAAATTTTATAGTAGATCATCTCCTCTTTCTCTCTAGTAAATTATGTTTACATCAGTACTTTGAAAACAAGTATATTCATTTTTAAAATTTATAAAGCTAAAACAATATGGAAACATTTTATCTGTTAAAAACTTAATTTTTTAATAATCAGCTATTATCAGGGTGGCATTTCTCATATTGCTCAAACCTTTGTATGCATAACTCTAAAAAAAAAAAGAAAAAGATAAGATAAATGATAAGTCAAGAAATAAAATATCTAAAAATTTGAAATCTATTCCAATCATCAAAGTCATAAATTCTTTAAATCTAAAAGTTAAAGAATAGTTTTATGATTTTGCTATAGATAAGAGACTAATGATGTCTGCTCAAAATAGTAATAAGACATACTAAGATTTTAATGAATCATTGTTTTGCAAAAAAAACTAAATTTCCTGAAGAAAATATGAGATGAAAGAAAAGATGGAAGAATTGTGTTTGTCAATGTAAAAGAAAAAAACTATTCCATATGAGAAAATTTTTTTAAAATATTTTTTTTTGATACAAAAATTTTTAATTTATATTATTACAAAATTAGTGAAAAAATTAGAATTAGTTATCACATATTAAATATTCAAATGAAAATAATTTAATTAAAAAAAGAAAGGAATTATACCGTTGTTTTTTTCTTTTTTTTTTTTTTAAAGTGAAGCACTCAAATTTTAAGGTCTTTAATAGGAAATAAAAAGAAAATTTTACGAAATCATTTTTTTTTTCCCTTTTTTTCTTTAAACATCGTAAAAAGATTATTTTTCGTAGCTTTGAAATGCAAAATTTTAGAAATTACATTAAAAAAAATTGTGAAAATGAGAAAGTTGCAATTGAAAAATGAATGATTCTAAGATATATTATCATCTTTAAGATAAAAAATGAAATAAAAAATAATTTAGCAGAATGTGTGCTGTTAATAAAATCTTATGAAGTAATCAAAATTCTTTTTTCTCGAACATTTTCTTTCTTTTTTTATCAATTAAAATTATTTAAAGTCAATTTTAATGATATTTCTTCTGTTTGTAATTTTAAAAAAAAAAAATGTTTTTGAGTGAAAATAAGGTATCATTTTGTCGAAGATTGGTGTGACGAATGAAAAAAATATGAATTGTAATTAAAATAAATTAATGTTTTAGTAAACATTTGCTAAACTGATAATTTGTTCAGAATTATTGCTTACACAGTTATTTTTTAAAGTTTTTTTTTCCATTTTTGATTCAAATAGCATATTATGGAAAAGTTATTTCGATATTTAATTAAATATTTGAATTTGGAAAAGATTTAATGCTAGGCAAAATTAGTTTTAAATATAAGGATTACTTGAGAAAAGATATAAAATTAATCTCATCTGAAGAGATTTAGATTCAATTGAAATTTGCATATGGAAGAAACTGTAAAATTCAACGTTTAAATTTAATCAATTTGGAAAAAATTTGAAGAAATATTTACTATATTAAAATGAAAGGAAATTTTTGGTTTTTCAAATAAAAATTTTTTAAATGTACTTTTATTGGTAATTTAAAGAAATAGCATTGAATTTGTTACTTTTAAAATAAATAAACTATTGATAAAATAG